CACGAACAGCAACGCCTTTAGGTTAAATTCCTCCTGTCTGTGCTCATCCCACGTACGTACACCGTTTCCATTCCACAGCTGTAAAATTTCTTCAACTAATGGCCTTAGGTACATATCAATGTCGTTGCCGGGTTGCTTAGGGCCTTGGATGAGAACTAGCATCATAATGAACTTCCGCTTCATGCACATCCAAGGAGGAAGGTTATACATACATAGAGTCACGGGCCAGGTGCTGTGATTGCTGCTCTGCTCCCCGAAAGGATTAATGCCATCCGCGCTTAAAGCAAACCATACGTTCCTTGGGTCCTTTGCAAACTCATCCCAGTACTTTCTCTCGATTTTTCTCCACTGCGACCCATCAGCGGGTGCTCTTAACTTCCCGTCTTTCTTACGGTCCTCACTATGTCATCACATCTACTTGGCATGCTCTCCGTTTCTGAACAGATGTTTCAACCGTGGTATTATAGGAGCATACCACATCACCTTCGCAGGAACCCTCTTCCTGAGGGGCCCGCCGTCAACATCACCAGGGTCATCTCGTCTGATCTTATACCGCAATGCACCGCATACCGGGCATGCGTTCAGATCCTTGTATGCACCGCGGTAGAGGATGCAGTCATTAGGGCATGCATGTATCTTCTCCACCTCCAATCCTAGAGGGCATACGACCTTCTTTGCTGCGTATGTACTATCGGGCAATTTGTTATCCTTTGGAAGCTTCTTCTTCAATATTTTTAGTAGCTTCTCAAATCCTTTGTCAGGCACATCATTCTTTGCCTTCCACTGCAACAATTCCAGTACGGTACCGAGCTTTGTGTTGCCATCTTCGTAATTGGGGTACAACCCTTTTTTGTGATCCTCTAACATGCGATCAAACTTCAGCTTCTCCTTTTGACTTTCGCATTGCGTCCTTGCATCGACAATGACCCGGCGGAGATCATCGTCATCGGGCACATCGTCTGGTTCCTCTTGATCTTCAGCAGCTTCACTCGTTGCAGCATCATTGGGCACATCGTCTGGTTCCTCTTGATCTTCACCAGCTCCCCCCGTTGCAGCATCACCGTATTCAGGGGGCACATAGTTTTCATCGTACTCTTCTTCTTCGCCGTCTTCCATCATAACCCCTATTTCTCCGTGCCTCGTCCAAACATTATAGTGTGGCATGAAACCCTTGTAAAGCAGATGAGAATGAAGGATTTTTTGGTTAGAGTAAGACATCGTATTCCCACATTCAGTGCATGGACAACACATAAAACCATTCTGCTTGTTTGCCTCAGCCACATCGAGAAACTCATGCACGCCCTTAATGTACTCAAAGGTGTGTCTGTCACCGCACATCCGTTGCCGGTTCATCTGCGTGCATTATATATAATTAAGTGTCCAAATTAATAGAAGTTCATCATCACATTAAAACCAAAGTACATACATAGTTCTCATCTAACAACATATAGCTCTCCAGAGCATCTAATTAATTAAACCATACATTGAAACTATGTAAAACATTTCAATGCGAAAACAAATGCGATCATAATCGCAACCAAGGTAACAATTGATCCAACGGCATAATGATACCAAGCCTCGGTATGAATGGCATATTTTCTAATCTGTCTAATCTTCAAGTGAATTGCATCCATCTTGATCTTGTGATCATCGACGACATCCGCAACATGCAACTCCAATATCATCTTCTCCTCCTCAATTTTTTTTATTTTTTCCTTCAAAAAATTGTTTTCTTCTTCAACTAAATTTAACCTCTCGACAATAGGGTCGGTTGGAATTTCCGGTTCACATACATCCTAGATAAATAAAATCTATGTCACGTTGGTCGGCTTAATTTTCATAAACAATAAATGAACCAATAGTTATAAAGATAATATATATACCACATCCGAATCATAGACAGGACGAGGGCTGACGGGGGTGGATACCAAAACCATCGCACTATATAGTATGAAATAATAAAAGTAAGAAAATAATACAAGTATCTATGTAAACATACAAGTAAGAATATTTTTTCCTTTCAGAAAGAAGATAAGAACAAGAGTCTCACCACGGTGGCACCGGCGATGAGCTCGGCGCGGGTGATCGACGGCGGTGAAGACGGGGACGGGGCGTGACAGACCGCTAAACCTAGACAAATATTAAGGAAAATGGAGCTTGGAGGTCGAGCTTGGAGAGGAGAAAGCTTAAGTAGTGTGGCTCGGGCATTCCATCGAACACCTTGTGTGCATAGGAGGTGAGCTAGAGCACCACCAAGCCCTCTCCCCCTCGGCCAGAAAAAACAGAGCAGTGTGCTCTGCTCTTATGCGAGGGGGTATATATAGGCACCTCATTGGTCCCGGTTGGTGGAATGAACCGGGACTAAAGGGGAGCCTTTGGTCCCGGTTCAAGCCACCAACCGGGACCAATGGTGGTGGGCCAGGAGCGAGGCCCATTGGTCCCGGTTCGTCCCACCAGCTGGACCAAAAGGTCCAGACGAACCGGGACCAATGGCCCACGTGGCCCGGCCGCCCCCCTGGGCTCACGAACCGGGTCCAATGCTTCCATTGGTCCCGATTCTGGACTGAACCGGGACTAATGGGCTGACCCGGCCTGGACCTTTGCCCCCTTTTCTACTAGTGTCTCCGTCAACCGGTTCCCCCTCCCATCGCGTCCCTCCACCGATTTTTCATCTAGTCGGTTTTTCCTCACCATGCCATATGGACGGCATCTTTCAAGTACGTCAACCGGGAACCAAAAATCCATGGCCAGGAAATTTGCAACATTTATATGGCGAAAATATAGCAAACGGACCCAAAAAGTGAAATTTGACATGAAACATGTAATGGTGTATCCAGTCAATAAAAAAAAGTTAGGGTTAGCTGATGAAGCAACCGACACTTTTTCCTTCTATAATCTAACTAGTTCCTCTCAAGTCTTGGCACCCTAAGGTTTGGGATTCCTATTCTTATTTTGGAGAAGACCTAAACATAGGTCAAGAGCACAATCAAGATTTTTTTAACCTATTTTTATCCATTTTCCCCGCTCTTGCAGTTCAAATTTGAATCATATAAAGAAAATACACTTAAGGCCTATAAAAGAAAATAGATAGGATAAAGAAAAGAAAAGAGAAGGAGCGAACAAATACTGTAGAGTAGAACAAAGCATAAAATGAAAAAAAACAAATAATGTACAAGATAAATGAAGAAGAAGAAAAGGAGAGGGAAAAGAAAAGAAAAAAGTTTGTTGGGTGCCACTCGGCAAAGGCGTGCAATGTCGGGTGCCATGTGGCAGAACTCCGTGTATACGTCCAATGTGGCGAATGTCACCATTTTGTCCGTGTTTTCTCTATGGCTTGCATGATCCATGTTCAAACTACTCCCTTCGTTCCTTAATATAAATCTTTTTAAACATTTCAAATGGACTACAACATACGGATGTATATAAACATATTTTAGAGTGTAGATTTACTGATTTTGCTTTGTATATAGTCACTTGTTAGAATCTCTAGAAAGACTTATATTTGGGAACGGAAGTAGTATGATATACTATGGTGCTTTGAGTATTTGGTGTCCTTTCACTGTGTACGTAGAACGGTTGATAGCTGGTCCAGCCTAATTAATATGATCATAACGGTTGGAAGTTGGGTAGTGGGGGTTGAGAATTGGAGTGAGATATAGGTGCTTGTTGCATGTCAAGCCATTTTTGACAAAAAAAGACATCGAATATATTGAAAGAGACAGGTTTTAAGAACATATACATGGTTAAATAAAGAGCAATGCCACACATACATAATTCATTGTACGTGATTAACGTAGATGCTTAGGTGGGGTCTTCTGATTGGGTTTAGGGTGGTTTCATAATTGTTTAGTAGGTGTCATATTTTCGTTAAATAATTAAATAGGATGGAAAAAGTGCACTTTCACTTGAAAACAGAAATAAATTTTTTGTTAAATAATTAAATAGGATGAAAAAAGTGCACTTTCACTTAAAACAGATGTAAATAAAAAATACGGAAACAAACCAACAGAAAGAGAATAATAGGTGTACTCCACACCTCTCTCACCATATTGGCATAGCGCGAACCAACCTGTGGTTGGATGGTTAGAGGAACTGTGGTATCCCCAGCCCACCAGGGTTCAAATCATGGTGCTCGCATTTATTTCTGAATTTATTTTAGGATTTCCGGTGATGCGTAAATTTCAAGATGACAAGGTGTCCACGGTGACGTCGTAAATTTTAAGATGATATGCCGACTCGGTCTTTCAGAGAAGCGCATAGTGATAAGATGTGGGTGTGTGCGTTTATAGGGTTGAATGTATGCATGTGTATATGAGCGCTTGTGTCTGTAGTGACGTTGAAAAAATAAACCATATCGGCATGGCCTGTTATTTATGTCTAGTACTCTCTCATATGAAATTACTTGTCATAGAATAGAAATAAATAAAATGAATAAAATGAATGTACTATCTAAAACAAAAATACGTGTAGATACTTCATTTTCTTCGACAAATAATTCCAGACGAAGGAACTAAGTACATGTCTTAATTATCCTAGAGCGAAAATTTTGACTTGACCATCTGTCTTCTCGTTGTTTCCAAGCTCGGACACGCCCTTGTCCTTCCTGTGCGCGAGCTCCCCCACATGGTGAACCATATTGGCCACATCCCGGCCCGACGACCCGCCTTCCGCCATCGCCTCCCTTGCCATCGTCGCGAGCTTCTTCGCCGTCGTTCGTATTTCCGCCCCCTCATCCATCAGCTCCCTCAACGCTTTCTTGATGTCGTCTCTCACGACCTGTTTCGCATATAGCTCGGGGTTCATGAACACGTGCATGGCCGGCACCTTAACACCGACCCGGACGCCGGCGCCGAGCACGTCCACGACCAGCGTCTCGTTCAAGAACTGGTCGGCGATGTGCGGCCATGTCAGGAGCGGCACGCCGTGGGAGAGGGACTCCAACGTGGAGTTCCACCCGCAGTGCGTCAGAAAGCCGCCCACCGCCGGGTGCGACAGGATGCTCATCTGCGGTGCCCACCCACGGATGAAAAAGCCGCGGCCCTCCACGCGCTCCTCGAACCCCGCGTCGAGGTCTCCCTAGTCACCCAGATGAACGGGCGATTCGACGACTCCAGGCCGGCGGCGAGCTCCGCGGCCTGCGACGGCAAGAGGCGGGCCATGCTGCCGAAGCTGACGTAGAGCACGGACTGTTGCGGCCGCGCGTCGAGCCAAGTGGCGACCGAGCCGGCATCGACGGCCGCGGGGTTGCCTCTTCCGGTCGTCGTCTCCGCGTCGGAGTCCAGAAGGCAGAGCGGCCCGACCGCCCACACCTTCCGGTGGAGCGCCGCACCGTATCCCTTGATGTACGCGCTCTCGAAAGCCGCGCAGGTGTTGAAGACGAATCCGTCGGCGGTGGCCTCGGCTTCCAGCGTGTCACGCCTTTCCTTCTCCATCCCAGGAAACTGGAAGAACCCAAGCGACGTGGCCTTGCTCGTGACGGCGCGCACCGGAAAATCGGGCACCTCGAACTGCTCCAAGTCGCCGGCAACGCAGTCGGTGTCGTGCACGCCGTGCTTGGCCAGGCTATGCTGCGCCAGGAGGAAGAACGCCGACGGGCCTTGGAACACAAACCGTGGGATGTCAAGCCGGCGCGCGACGTCGGCCGTCCACGGGTTGCACGTGTCGGCGACGAGGCAGTCCGGCCGCCGTGGCAGCGCCCGGAGGTACGTCTCCAGCGGCCCGGCGAGCAGCCACACGGCTTCATAGAAGAGCATGATGCCGGGGAGGTCCGTGACCATGTCGTGGCTCTCGCACCCCTCGGGCAGCCCCAGCGCCGGCCCCGGGAACGGCAGCTCGGCCACGTCGACGGCGAGCCCCTCGCGGGAAGCGTGCTCCAGGACGGCCCTGTTGCGCGCGGCGGTGACGGGCGTGAGGACCACGGTGACGCGCGCGCCGGCGCGGCCGGCGATGAGGCGCGCCAGGTCGAGCACCGGGATAACGTGGCCCGGCGCAAGGAGCGGCACCAGCACGAAGTGTAGCGGCCGTGCCATGGCCGCGCGGAGTACAACAAGTCAACACGAAGTTGGGGATAATTTACTTGTTGTACGTGCAGTATGCTGGAAGGAGGAGCTATAGATTAGCATCTGGAAGGCCAAGACAGATAGAATCACGGCCACGGCACAGCGTTGGATCGAGATCGAGATCCACGGAGTAGAGGCAGTGCTGCTACATCGGCCACCCACGTGCATTATCAACAGACGACGGACGGACGATGCTGAGGTGATGCCGTTTACACGAATATGGCCAATCCTATCCGTTTGCGCACGCAACGCGAATCCTCCCCGTCGATGAATCATGTGGATCAGCGCGCCCAGGCCCACCGGGTCCCAACCAACGATTCCCTAGTTTTTTTTCCCACGGTTATACAACCGGATACAGTCACATCGTATGCGATCAGGCCCCTACACCATTGAGCTGCGCGCCTACACCATCACTCGATTACCCCATCCACCCCAGTGATTTATAACTTGTCAAATTTCGATTCCCAGACTCCAGATCTAGCCTCATGTGAGTTTTTCCCCAATTTTCTCTGTTGGATTTTTTCTAATTGTTACTTAGGCTGCATGCGTATCATTGTTCCACTCATCTGTGTGTTTGAGATCTGCTAATTTATGTGCTTCTTTGTTTCCTCCCGCAAGATTGTTTAACATGTGAACTCCATGTGCAGGGTTTGTTCTGCTGCTCCTGAAATCGATGGCGGCCCGCCTCTCCGACGTCCTCCTCCACGGCGAGCCGCCCAAGCACCGTAATGCATTTTCTTCCCCCATCAGTGCTTCACCAAGCAGCAGCACATGGAGTTGGAGGCAAGAAGAGGAGGAGCAAGAAGGGGAGGACGCGGGCGACTAGTTCCTCCCCTGAGCTCGAAGGCCGAGGGCCCAGATCCGCGGTTGTTCTTCCCAAATCTTGATGCCATTTGCTTTCCTGCGATTCTTTTTTTTAGAACGAAGACGCCGGAGGCGTCCGGATTTAAATTAATAAAGCCCACATAAGGCAGCATCCAACAGGTTCAACACTTAACAACAAAGATAAAACGGCCGTAGCCAAGGTACGATACATGCTACCGGCCGAAGCCTGCAAGAGGAGATAAACAACATAGAGCAATGTGCCGGTCCAAAAGATCAGAGCCTACGGCAGGCTAGTGGCGGGCATCAACCTGGATCGTCTGAATCCGCTCCATCGCCTCCGACATCCGATCCGCATCACGCCGTTTCCCCAACGGCGTCCATGTCTGAAGAAATAAGTGGCATTTGAAAATAATGTCAGCCGGGTGAGAAGGAAATTTGTGCTCGATAGTCATCTTATTGCGGGTGGTCCAAATGGACCATAACAAGGCTCCCACGCAGCGCCATAAGACCCGGCCAAAACCACCCCTAAAAGCAGCTAGTAAAGCGCGCAGGTCCGAGGTAGAGCGAGGATCCCAGGTCTGCCCGAACGCCTCCCTAACCGCACTCCAAGCAAAGCGAGCAAGGTGACAGTTAAAAAATATGTGGTTGGCATCTTCATGTTGGCCACAAAGCACACAAGAGCCGTCAGAGGGGCCATTCCTACGAGCGATATTATTGGAGGAGGGAGGCGGTCGCGAAACATCTGCCACACAAAGATTTTGATTTTTAAGGGAATGACAGCTTTCCATAGCCCCCTAGCTATGTCCAGGGTCGGTCCCTCGGTCAGTTTGTTGTACAAGGATTGGACAGAAAACTTCCCCGAGCGCGAGAGAGCCCAGGAGACCGAGTCGGCCTCAGGACGAAGGTTCACTCCCGCCAGATCAGCTACAAGCCCTTCCCAACAGGCTCGTTCGTTATCAAGCAGGGGTCTTTTGAAAGAGACCGCAGGCGGATTGGAACGCAGCGCATCTGCCACTAGGATTTCTATGTTAGTAGCAAGCCGATATGCTAAGGAATGGCTTTTCCACAAGGGTTCCGAGCCAAACCAGTGGTCCAACCAAAACCGTGTTGAGGACCGATTGTTGACACAAAACTTGGCTCCTAAGGTGAATGCCGGCATAACTTTGTGGATCCCATTCCAAAAAGTTGATCCCTTAGCTTTTGAGGTAAGGAAATTCCCATCTGGGAAGTATTTGGCGCGAAGAATATCCACCAGAGCCCTTGCTCGTTTTGGGAGAGTTTCCAAATCCACTTGGTTAAGAGGGCGACATTCATTAGCTTTGAATTAAGAATCCCAAGACCTCCAAATTTCTTAGGGCGACAGAGCGCGGCCCATTTGATTAGGTGGTACTTCTTTCTGATCCCCGTTCCTTCCCAAAAGAACTTGGATCGGGGCGTATCAAGCCTGGCATGAACCCCATCAGCCAGCAAAAACATGCCCATCGTGAACAGAGGAAGGGAAGACAGGCTAGAGTTAGTTAGAATTAATCTGGCCGCCGAGGAGAGGAAACGACCACGCCAGGGGCTAACTCTATTTGCCACCTTGCCATACAAGGGTTCCCATTCTAGAATGGAGATGTGTTTATCTGAGATAGGCAGGCCCAAATACTTAATTGGAAAGCTCCCTAGCTTACAATTAAGTAAATTGGCTACATGAGAAGCGAGCGGAGGATCCATCCCAATGGCTATTACCTCGCTCTTAAGGAAATTGATCTTAAGACCAGAGATGATTTCAAAAGCGAGGAGAATAAGTTTGACCGAAGCTACGCTATGATCGCCAGGCTCAAAGAGCAGCAAGGTGTCGTCCGCATATTGGAGGTGGGTGACCCTTGGTAAATATCCCGTATTCGCATCGCCCTTGGTAACCCACATGCCCGTAGATTTCCTGCGATTCTTCATGTGTCGCTATTAGTTTTTGTTGGGTTGCTAAGAAGAATCAGGAGGAGCCGTCCTCTGCTCCTTCTCAAAATTTCCCTCCCAGATCTGTATTCTTGGGCATCGATTTTTTATCTTTTGCTTGACCATCAATCGCACGTACTTATTACTTAAGATTTTTTGTGTTGCTGTGTTGGATTTGGGGGTGAGGCTTTTTTTTCTGGTGCGGTCAGCACTGATGGTGTATGAATTACGATGTGGTATGTGTGCTGCCTTGCTAATCTTCTCAAATTCTGGATCTCATGTCTCACATACAACATTTTAGAAAAATGCATTTAATTTTATGACCAGCCTGACATGGATTGAGTGTACTCGTATCATGCATATACCATATGTGATGTAGTGTTTAGTGATGACAATATCACAATAAGTGTGAGACAGAACCAAAGGTCGCAAACCATACCGAATGTGCCATATAACCGCCGATGCGCACTTTATATCCTCGGTTATGGTCCTGTTATGGTTGACCGTGAAGAACTTTAAAGATAACAACCATATATACTCGAAGGCGGGTCTCTTTCACCCGACCATGAAGAACTTTAATGTTATATCGATTGGTAAGTTTTTTCACTAGGGATTGGGAAAACAACCTCATAATTATTGTGATATTTTCATCACTGGACACTACGTCCCATATAACCTTCGATGTGCATTTTATATCATCGGTTCCGGTCTCCTTATGGTCGACCACGAAGAACTTTAGAGGTAGCAGCCATATGTAATCGAAGTTGGGTCTCTTTCACCCGACCATGAAGAACTTTAATGTTACATCGATTGGTAAGTTTTTTCACTAGGGATTTGAGAAACAGCCTTATAATTATTGTGATATTTTCATCACTGGACACTACGTCCCATATAACCTTCTATGCACACTTTATATCCTCGGTTCCGGTCCTTTTATGGTCAAATGCGAAGAACTTTAGAGATAGCAACCATACGTACTCAAAGGGGGGCCTCTTTCACCCGACCATGAAGAACTTTAATGTTATATCGATTGGTAAGTTTTTTCACTAGGGATCTTGGAAAACGACCCCATAACTAAATTAAAAAATTTATATTTACAGAATATATTAAAAATATATTAAGACATTTCTATTTGTAGTGCAATGTTGTGTTGAGGAGGTGAGCATCTGCCAGCCGCAGCATACCGGTGACGTGCTAGCTGTGCCCCGCCGATGGATTAGTTAATTTTTTAAACTGTAGTCTCAGAGATTCTTGAGTCATTATGTAGTGTACATTTTTGTTTCCCTGTGTAAACGTTTTTTGGCAACTTCAAAGAACTTTTTGTAGTGCAACGGACGACTCCTTGCAATCGAATCTCCACGCTGTAAAGGCTCATGAGGTCCTTTTTTACCAACAGTCCTGGTACGTTACTTGCTCACCACAAAGAACTTTTTTGCATCGGATATTTAATCCTTGTGAATAAATAAATTAATATACACGTGTAAAAATTAGTACAGTACTATTACTTAAACTTACGACTAGTACTCACGTCAAGGGATGCTATTTAGCATGTAATCTTCGCGGTAGATAATACTAATAGGAGAAGCAGACGGAATGGTGCATGCTGTACGGTAGGGTAGGATCGAATCTTATAGCTTGGCCCCACAGTACGACGCGTCAGGTGGAATACTGCTCATATACACCAGCATCAATCTATTCGGGAGTCTATTACACCAGAGATACCTTGCAGATCTGACAGCATAGTGGACCTAGTGATGTGACATGCATGGCTGATGTGCGGCCGAGATATAAGATGTGCGGGCAACTGAGTTAGACAAAATCCACTTCCCCGCTTACACACATGCATTATCAACAGACGACGGACGGCGGACCGCGATGGCCACCCACTAGTATTTGTCCACGGCTCCGTTGCCAGAAGGGTTCTTCTCTGGCGAGTGGTCCGGTGGTCCCTCGCCTGACTCCAGCTCTTAATTTCACAACCTACGTCGTCCGTGGATGATGAAGGTGCAGCACGAAAGATGACACGCACCACTCGCCGCTGCTCATCATTCGTTCACTGCATATTCAACATCTGCTACGTTGGCGGCGAGGTGCGGTGGTGGCCTCTGTTGCAGCATGTGGTTGAGGTTCAAGGAGAGGGTGTGGCTGCTCGGGGTGAAAGCCTTGCTCCAGCTCTGCTGGAGTCAACGATGGCGATGCCGATGGGT